CCCACTACCCCTTCTTTTCTTTCCCTCCTTTGATCCATGTCGTCTGTCTTGTTCTTTCCCTACACTAAGTGGCCATTATTACAGTGTCAGTGACGAAGTGGGCCTCTTTACTTATAAAACAAAGTGTCATGTTATTACGTACCTTTGGGGCAATGGTCAAGGTCTCCAAAGCACTCTCGCTTGTGGCTAGGGCCGGTCACACGGACCCACTGGGAGCGACCCATGATCTTCAGGGCCTTGTTGTTCACTCCTTGCACAAGCTCAGGCGAACCGTAGACACGTGAGTCAAGACCCGAGGGGTTTTGGATCAAATCTCGGTCGATGCTGTCCATGGGCAACTGATAATGAGCCAGAAGATCTGGAATGATAAGAGAAGTATGACATTAGTAAACTGAAACAAGAATAAAAGAACTTCGATATATGTAAAACATTGACACCAGGCAGTTCTCTTCTTTTAGTTGGTATTGTTGTTATTTGTTGTTGTTGTTTTTGTTGTTGTTGTTTTTGTTGTTTTTCAGAGGTAAGAGTTAGGTTGACATTTTACACAGTTTGGAACATTGTTGATTGTTTTATATTTTAGAAATAACTAAATTAGTACTTTATACTGATATATAGGGCTGAATGTCTTTACTCTACAAGTTATTTTCAAAGCCCCATCCCAAATGAAAGAAAAAAGTCTCCACCCCACCCCTTTTTTCCCAACAAAAAAGAAAAGAAGAAGAACCTCCACGGCACACCCCCCACCCCCCTAAAAAGGGAAAAGAAAATAGAACGTCACGCTGTATAATACACAAAGTGTATTTCGTACGCCCCACACCTTTCTCTCCTCTAGACATAAGTCAATCAGGCCCACCCTGACAAATTTTCACCTACCAAAAAACGTTGTTTTCATCTGGCCTCGAACACATGTATCTATTATTTCACTGACACTTTTAAGAAAGATTAAGCAGGTATATAATATAATGTGGAAGTCGTTTGAGTCTTTTTCTTGAACTGATTCGCTTGATTTAGCAATCGTAGAGAAAGGCAGGCCCCCGTGAAAAGGAAACAAAGTAATGTTTTATTCGGCGTCCCCGCTAGGCTTACGTACAGTCCAAAAGGCGTACAGTGGTCTACCGATCACTTGAGTCTCGAGTGCCTTCGACAGACACTCCTTTTATAGAACAACTGAAGCTAATAAAAACTTTCCCTAAATGAAACTACTTGAGTGAGAAAGCTCTCGTTCTGTTTCGCTGTAGGCCATTTAGTGCAAAATATTTCCCACTGATGCATACACGACTACCGCAGAACATCTTTTTTTTTATAGAGAAAGTATTTTGTACCCTAGAGTGAAGACGCAAGAAAGAAAGAAAAGAATGAAACGTCGGTTGAGGAAGGACATTGTGGGGTAGAAATTCCACCGCTTTGCTACGAATAGTTGTATTCTTTGTAATTGTATCTTTGTTCTTGAGAAGAAAAAAAATGTCGACAGAATCGACGCCTGACGCATATAGTCACAATGGAAACAAGAAATAATAACTGAACCAAAAAGACAACAAAGTACAGCAAACAAGCTACAACAGAACAAACATACCGATTGAAGAAAACAAAAACTAAAAAAACAATAAACTAAAAAAACCCAATATAACAGACCTCCCCCCCCCCCATTTTCCCCTGAAAAAAAACCGCACACTCTCCACTGCAAAGCTACACCACAATTGTCAGAATAGTGTTACCTTTCTTTGTATGTTCTCTACCAATCGATTCAGAGTGGATCAAAAAGGATTTTACTCTGTGGCATTGTAACTAGCTTAACTCCTTCTACACCCCCCTACCCCCACACGCACGCACGCGCACGCACACACACACACACACACACACACACACACACACACACACACACACACACTTTCTCCCCTCCGTCCTAACATATAAGGACATATATAACGTCAATGGAGACCCCGGAGACGAAATAATTTATTTACAGAGGCCACGGCTGACCACACCCTCAAAGTGTTGTTTCTGTCCCCACGAGAAATTATCGCAGGGGGGATCAATAAGCGGGATCATTGACCTCGCCTGTGAAATCTGGTTAAAAGAGGTAACGATAATTATAGTTATCCATTCAGTTCTTCATCCATTCCCGTTCTCTCATCGGCAGACTCCATCCATGCATATCAACTGGAAACAAAACAGAACGAAACAAAACAAAAAAGGGAAAGAAAAAAAAAACACTGCTAGAGAAATAACCATACTACATACGATTGATTTGCCAGTAAAATAAAAAAAAATATTTTTAAAAAATTAAAAAAAAGAAAAAAACTCCAACCTCATCCATGGTCTGTGCGCAAGTTTATTTAAGAGAACGAAAAAACGCAACCAAAGCAACCGAAAAAAACCCGATTATTTATTGGAAAAAACATTTCGTGAGCAAGATTCATTTCTACCCCAGATAACAGCTGCCCCTCAGGAAACTGATTTGTAGGGGAGGTTGTACAACAACTGCAACAACATCAACATCAACAACAACAACAAACAAACAAACAAACAACAACAACAACAACAACAACAATAACAACAACAACAACAACATCAAATTTGCTTGTACGGCAGTTGAGCTCGCCGAAGCGTCGCGGGTAGGTGTAAGCAAGTACAAGATGTGTGAAAAAATAGGGGAACCCCCCACTTGCGCTGTCACAAAATACAGCGCAATAGCCGAGTTAGTTATGGCCTATTTACCCGGTCTAGGTGTACCCGTTTTCCGGGGTGATTTCCCTTTCACTGCACAATCTGTTACAGTTTCATTGAGAACGCACCCTACCCTTTTCTTCGCCTCTGTACACACCCCCGCACTGTCAGATCCATAAATAGATCTGGCTGTCGTTGTTCTTTATCCATTGGCAAATGTAGAATGAAAGGGAATATACGCTGTCCGTTGTCCTCTCAGCTTTTTTTCCCCAAACGACCTGGTTCTGTCAAAAGCATGCCCTTATACAAACAACAGTTTAATGTTCTGTAAATTTGGGTCTACTCCAGAACTACGACTTTCTTCGGCTACCCTAGGCCTACATGTACTTAGAGAAAGCAAACAGGCTCAAAGAAATATAGAAACATAGGCCCTTCGGTACGTATTATCATCTCTTTACATGTCTCCCTCACTCTCCCCCTCGCCCTTCCCCTAGATAAAATATAGATA